TTCCTTCTGTGTTTTGAAATAAAGATTGTTGTAGTATCTCTAACTTTCTCAATGCATTATAATTTGATTTCCAGTAACTTGTATACACACGGTATGAACAAGGCAGTGTTTCCCTCATTAAAGAAAAAAACAGTAAACCAGATACATTAAAGGAAAAACATGCACTTAAGCAATTTCCATCTATTGTTTCTGCTATATTCTGACACAAGTTAGCACACCATCAAGAAATCATACAGATGCCCTATACACTGGAAAAACAGAGATTCATCACGTGATGCATACAACAATGTACAGAGCTAGTAACTAGATATGTGACCTTCTGAAGCCTCCCTTCTTCTAATCTCCCACAATTTTAAAGGCGTGTTTTCACTTTAAACCTTGTTTCTGGACTAGCATACAGTATGTACCTAGGTACATTCAGATCGGCTTTAAGAAATGCCTTTACATGAAAACATACAGCCTTTTTATCCAGGTTTGTATGGCCTCCCAGTTCAGTAAATAGGAACTGCAGTCACATATTGTGTTTTTTCCCTTAAGATAGGCCTAATCACACACTTCCTTACTTCGGAGGTTAAAAAAAGAAAAAATGGTATTACAATGGTCATGTCTGCTGAAAGATCAGCTGTACACTGAAAATAATTAAGTTCACGGTGAAATACAAATTCTGCATGGAAATTATTTTCATTGAAGTACTGTTAAAATCTGTTCCTTGGAAATGCATAGGAGAATGTTTATCTTCAAAAGGTATACATTAAATAGTACATATTAGCTAGAGAATTTTCATATACCTCGCCATGATGTTACAAAATAACCATAAGCCAAATCCTTCTTGGAGACTTATTTCCAAAATGTACAAACATCACACCCACAGCTGAACGATGCACCTTCTCTCAAGGGGCCTTCTGTTGATCCACAGCATCTTTTCTGGAGTTGCAAACCTGACCATGTCCTGAAAGAGAATCTCAGCCTAGCTGTAGGTCTTCTACCCAACACTGAGCTTCCCTTAAAATGTACAGTAAGTATTCTATTTTAAAAGTCATGGTTTACAATTGGAATGGAAAAGCTGCATTATAGTCTTTTTAATTTGGGGACCAAAGTGTAACAAAAAAACAACAGATAGATGCTGAGTTCAGTTAAATTTATCAAGGACTATTAAGGAAGCAGAGAATCTTCATTTTGAGATAAACTTTGGAACAGCTCTTAAGGGCTGTAATACATTATCCTTTATGGCAAACTTAAATTCAAAGCTTGCCTGATTTTATAAAATAAACTCTAATTCAGAGTTTTGTGGGGTAAACTGTCTATACTAGTCTGTAAAGGCATAAAAATTTATTTGTAGACTGTATTATTAAGTGCAATGGCTGTTCCTGAACCATCAGTCCTCAAAACCAGCTCAGAAAATTGTTGCAGTCTATTCTTGCTTCGTTAGTGATAGCTGCCCTCTATAGTGTCTCACTCCACCACTGTACCTTAAAGATATACAAAGCTGCTCTAGATTCTCAGTTAAAAGCAAAACTCATTTTGTTCTCTGTTCATGGCAATGGTGGTTTTAAAGTCAAAGAACAATAAACTAAATTTTTCGGTCCTGCTAAAAACACTGCATTTCCATCAGCATACATATTTATTAAAAACAAAATAAGAAAAATAATCCCTACTAAGTGGAAAAGAAAAATAAAAAAACTTCTATAGAAGTGGGGGTTTTTTCCTCTTTTTATAAATCACGAGCTTCCTCTAGCAAAATCTTATGCTTTCTGCTTTTTTTCTTTCCTAGGTATATATTCCACTTTGGATTGTAGTTTTCTTAAGTTTCTCAGAAATAATAGCGTTATCAGTTCCCAGGTGCACATATGGTGATCTTTGAAAGAAAAAATATCATAGCACAATTATAGAATCATAGAATATCTCAAGTTAGAAAGGACTCATAACAATCACCGAGTCCAACCCGTTGCTCCTTGCAGGACTACCTAAAACTAAGCCATATGACTAAGAGTGTTGTCCAGACACTCTTTGAATTCTGACAGGCTTGGTGCCATGATCACTTCCCTGGGCAACCTGTTCCAGTGACTGACCACCCTCTCAGTGAAGAACCTCTTCCTAATGTCCAATCTGAACTTCCCCTGATGCAGCTTCACTCCATTTCCACGTGTCACTGCTCACCAGAGAGAGGAGATCAGCACCTCCTTGAGGAAGCTGTAGACTGCGATGAGGTCACCCCTCAGCCTCCTCCAAGCTTAACAAACCAAGTGACATCAGCTGCACACTCACAGGTCTTGCCCTCAAGATCTCTCACCATCTTGGTCACCCTCCTTTGGACACACTTTAATAGTTTCATGTCTGTCTTAGACTGAGCTGCCCAAAACTGCACACAGTACTCGAGGTAGGGCCATACCAGTGCAGTGTAGAGGGGTACAACCACCTCCCTCAACCAGCTGGCTTGCCGTGCTTGATGCACCCAGAGGACACTGTTGACTCATATTCAACCCAAACCTCCAAAGCTTCTTCCACGGGGCTGCTCTCCAGCCTCTCATTCCCTAATTTGTACATATAACCAGGATTACCCCATCCTTATGCTGAGGTTTCTTTAAAAAGAAGAAGAGGGGAAAAAAAAAGCAACAAGTGTTAAGACAGGAAGAACCATTCTCCTTTTTTCACCTCTTCTGGATTCATTCCTCCTTACAGCTGTAGCCTCTGGGCAGAAAGACACAGCAGGCAGGGAAGGCCAGCAGAGGATGCCTGTAAGAGCCCAAAGGCTTATTGCTCTTGCACGCACTCAAAACTTTCTGTTTCTCTGGGTTGTATTTCAAACCCACATCTTCTCACTTGAGGAATCGTAACAGGAAATGCATTTCAAGGCCCATCAATGCAACTCCAAATCACACCAATGAAAGTGCTTGCTAAGGGCACCAAGGAGCCTCCTCCACACCCCTTGTGCCCTTACTGTCAGACTCCCTGTGGCACCGCCTTGTGATCAAGTGGGAAGTCAGGGTAAGCAGAGCAAAGGCCACAGCTTCAAGGACTTCTCCTGTTTTCCAGGACCAACCAGACAGCTGATAGGATCATTTGGTTCCTAAGCCATATGCTAGCTGAATCCTGTAAGACATCTATCAATACCGATACAGGTATAAAAATAACAGGAGCAAGAAAAAAAAAAAAAAAATCAATTTTAGGCAAAACTTCATCCTATAATCTTATAATCTCAAAAAACCTGAAAAGGTGCAGCACCATTTTACAAATTCAGCCAAAAAGATAAATAATGCTTGTGCTCCCCCTGTTGGCTCTGTTCTCAAAACACAGCTCGGCATCAATGCCCGCATGAACATAAGTTTTTGAAAAACTATAGTAATACATACAGGGTTTCATCTGTTTCAAACACAGAACTTTGCCTTCATACAAGGAGACACTGTATTTAATCACAATCAGAATGAGAAAGCAATTTTGAGACATGAAAAACAAAAGCTGGGAGTCGTTTTGACCTAAACAAAAGTAAGAGTTTCTGAAACACCCATCCTAAACAAAGCGTTGTGAAAGGTAGATAAAAGATGGTGAAGAGACACATACCTAAATGAAGGATAGTAGTAAATAAAGCTTACTCTGAATGTGTATTTAAATCCAAAGGAGAACCACAAGGCACAGTAATGTGGATGCAAACCCCACAAGACAGCACTGCTGACAGCTGCAGCCAGCTACATGTCTCCCAGGTGTTCTGGAAGACTTGAATGAATGGACAGACTTACCTCCTCCACAGTACCCTGCTTTTGCTCCCCAAACCCCTCGTGTGCTCCTCAATGCCACCAGTAGCTGCCAAGACCAAGGCTGGCAGTGCCCCTGACCCAGCCTCAGTAGTGAGCCCGTTTCCATCACTTCGGCTGCAAAAGGACCCCTCAGCCTCCACTCTCTACCTGGGTAACTTCTCAACACTGAAATCTTCAAGAAGCTTAGAGAAAGATGAGGGTTTCTGTAGTCATAAGGATAATGTAAAAGGATGGCTACCTGGAACAATGTCAGGTTTTTAGAGACCCTTAAGGATTAATATTAATTCAGGCATATTAATTGGATTCAAGTTTAAGGTTAAAAAAAAATTTTTAAAAATCCAGATCACTAAAAGCAAAATTGGATCTTGAGAACCTCAGGACTTGTCAGTCTTTCCTTCCACACACAATGGAAGAAACAACAACATTAGAGCACAACTCTTCGTAAATTACTTAATGTATCTTCAGGCTGGAGAAAACAGGTATTTGCACATATATTTCTGCTCAGACAATATCCTAGTCTAACCTTAAACTGCCTTTCAGGAAAATCTACATATTGTAATCGGCTTGTCATTTTTTTGGCAAGTCAAGCTTACCTATACAGGTAAACCTGAACGTTTAGATTTTAAATACTGCCTTCCTTCACAAGCTATCTTTTCCCATTAGGGTAAGAACTGGAAACAAAGATTGTGAATTGTCATGTTATAAAGAGTTACCTGTCTCTTAAAACCACGTCTGATGTTTTCTAGTTGACTACTATTAGTTCATTCTAATTAGTTGAAAAATAAGCAGTAATATCAAACTGAATTCAGTTTTTAAATCCTAGTCATAGTGACAGTGATATTCAATCTTGCAGTATGCATAAATACAGCCTCTTTGTACAACCATTCAGATCAAAGTACAGTCACAGTCCCCCACCACACTGTGGCCAAAGACTCTCTTAAGAGCTACTGAAAATGTTATTTGATGAACACCTTACTGTGCCCAGCTTCAGAAAAAGAGATGCTAGTCTCATATAGACAGGCACACTGAATCTGAGTAAACTGTAAGCGGATATCAGAAGAAAACTGCTGGCACCCAGGTAATATTGAGGAACAAGCAACAGCATCCCAAGTCAAAGTTTACAAATACCATCGCCCAGTTAAGAGAACCTGTCCCCTTTCCTATTTTATTAAAAAATGCCTGATGTTATTCCTCGGGTATAACACACGATGCCACACGATGGCAGCAAACACCAAGCTTGAGCCTTACCTGCACAGCCTGTTCACCTCCTGTTCTAAAATCTTCAAGCTGCTGCACATGCCATGCAGCTACACCATAGGGCTCCTCAGCAGTCCTGCAGTCCAGGGGATTTGCACGTAACTGTTCTTTGAGCCACATTTGAGTCCTCACTGCTGGCTGTATGGGAGCTCCACTCACAGCCTGTTGTCCCAGAGTTGCATATCTCTGTCCGAAAGCTTCACAACTGGCTGCCGCAGGTTTGCTTTCAGGTAAGGCACTGTAGGTCAAGTCTAAGGCATGTCTCCTACTTGAGGAATCTGAAACAAAATCATCTTTGCTGCACGTTTCAAATTTGTATTTGCAGTCCAGTAGAGAAGATCGTTTTTTCCCTATTTCCTTGTCCTCAATTTTTAGCAACTCCATGCTGTCATGCAAACAACTTGGACCATTTGTCCGTAATTGTGGTGACACAACTTTGTCTGTACTAGCCCTGGAGTCCACCGAATGACTACTACCATCTTGGCTGAAGGTATTTGGTGAGCTGAGTTTAGACAAGGAGGACCATTTTCTTACAGGTCTTGCATCTTTCATGTCAAGAGAATTGTCCAGGGCACCCTGATTTCTGCCTCCTCCTGACCGTACAAAGCTTGTACTCCATTTTGAGCCATCAGACTTGAACGCTTCTCTGTGTTTGGAAAGTGAAGAGCTGGCATTAGACGGCATCACATGGGCAGTAGGAATAGAAACCAGTGATCGGCTGGGCTTAAACGAGGAGGTACCACTTGAAGTTGAATGATCTGGAAAGAGAGATATATCATGTAAATAATTACAATACAAAACTCATATTAACATCAGCGCCCAGAGGACAAAACATCAAAATCAAAGTGCAATGCAAAAATAGAAGGAAACAGATCTCTCGACAAAATAGGGTCTTCTGAATCATTCAGGATTATGAGAATGGAAACCTATTAAAGTGGGAGATTTTCAAATTTGTTTTGCTCAGGTGTCATCATTACAAAAAGAGATCTGTACTAAGCCATGGCAACAGCAGCTCCAGGCACAATTCCCAGGCTGTGGGCAGAAGGCAGTGTTTGTTCCCCAGCTTCAAGGTGGCAGGCTGGATTTCTCCCCCACCCCACACAGTTTTAAGTACCTTCCTTATCACAAATGACAGAGGTATCACATCTCAGGAGCCCCAGGACTGGTTCCTCTTCTATCACCCCTCTTCTCATTTTTTAAAGGCCAGACAATTCACTAAATGCACTTTGTAAAATGGCAGTGCTGGAGACAAGCCAGTTTAATGATGGCCTCTTGGAACAGAATTATTCATCCCTTTTGGATCTCAATGATTTCAAACTATGCTTCCCCAGGTGATTTGCTAAAAAACACAAAAAAAAACACCACAAAAAAAAAACCAAAAACAAACCAAACCAAAACAAACAAACAAAAAAAACCCACAAGGTTCTGAAAAATTTTATGTTTCATTTAGGTGTTGTGTTATTTACAGACCCAAATACAACACCACACAGAAACTGTGTGTAGCACTGTTTATTAAATCTATCCCAAGATGAAATAATACAAACAGAGAAATCAGTGAAGTGATATCCAGGAAGGGATGGAACAGCAAAGATGAGAGGGGTAAAGGAGAGGTTACTGGGGACTGGCTGAGACCTCTCACATGCCCAGCGACATGTGCTTAGCATCACAGGCTGTGGACAACCAGAAATAAACAGCTAATCCTCTCATTAGAGGATCAGCTCCCACCAAGTCACATGTCCACACCCTAGCAAGCTCATACCATTTGTTAGGTTCATGGCAGATAGACAGAATGAAATTGCTCTAATCAGAAGATTCTTTTGGGGTTCTTTTTGCCAAGAGCAAGACAGATACACTCTTCTTATTTCTCGCATCCTAACCTAGAGATTACTTATTTCTTTGGGATTTGTCAGTTGATACAGGAGTTCATAGTGGGACAATTAGAAAGAAAGAAAAAAAAAAATCAACTGCTCTAGTCTAGCCAGTTTGATGGCTAGACTAGGTTAACGTGATTTGGTGAAGGCCAGAACACGTTATTAATTGGGCACACTTTCAAAGGATGTATTTGACTCAATATACCATGCCACCAACAGGAAAAAGAAGAGAGCTTCCAAGGGTACAACAACTTTTAAAAATGGCAGCACTTGGTTTTTCTACATATCCAAATAAAGATAACCTTACCCCCAACTTGCATACTCCTCCTTATTTGGGACCACATTTCCTCTCTCCTTGCACTTGCAGCACAACACAAAATAAGAGTGGTCCTACAGCCACACTCTTCATGAGAAGAAGAGAGCTTCCAAGGGTACAACAACTTTTAAAAATGGCAGCACTTGTTTTTCTACATATCCAAATAAAGATAACCTTACCCCCAACTTGCATACTCCTCCTTATTTGGGACCACATTTCCTCTCTCCTTGCACTTGCAGCACAACACAAAATAAGAGTGGTCCTACAGCCACACTCTTCATGAGAAAAATGTATTATAGCTCACAAAATAATAACCAGTTCCTTGATTGATACCTGTTTATTACATACTTGTCTTCTGCCTCCTAAAGGAGCCGGGGCTCCTGAGAAGGTAAATTCTCACTGAAGCCTTCCTGCCTCCTAATGTGTCACTGCCCCACCAGATACCCTCCCATTTCAAAGCAGAAGTTCACATATTGCCTCTTGCCTCTACCCAGCTGCCTACTTTCACAGTAGTTATAGAACACAGCTAAGACTTGACAAAACTGCCAGAGCTGGTTGAAATGGACCAACAGTTTAATGCGTTTAAGTGTGCTGATGATGGCCATAAGATACACACAGAATGCTCACATTAGAGAAAGTAAAACAGAGAGAATATGAGCAGCTTGTTATCTGATGGATCACGTTGCTAATAAATGTGAGGTACCATTTTTCACACGCAAAATGAAAGACCTTCCCTCCTCCCTGCACTTCTTCCTTAAAAATTCACCAACAGTTTAATGCGTTTAAGTGTGCTGATGATGGCCATAAGATACACACAGAATGCTCACGTTAGAGAAAGTAAAACGGAGAGAATATGAGCAGCTTGTTATCTGATGGATCACATTGCTAATAAATGTGAGGTACCATTTTTCACACGCAAGATGAAAGAAAGACCTTCCCTCCTCCCTGCACTTCTTCCTTAAAAATTCTATACTGCAGAGAGAAACATTTTCCTTGGCTTCTTTCTCTGTCTTGATATTGCTTAAGAGATGGGACATGTTAAAGAGGAAGACAGAAGGCCATACACCCATTTCATGTGGAAGGAATCACGCTCTTCTGACCAAACACATTTTGTGCCCACAGCTATTGCAGCAGTGGAGACAGTGGTATGCAAGACTACACGTTCCCAAAATTGTGATATGCCCACCACCCATAACCAATCTGCCAGTGCCAGGTGCAGTCTCAGCTTCTCTCAGCTCTGATTTCCCTCGTAGCACAGTAGGTACCTGCATAAATAGCAGCTACAAATCAGGTACATCTTGCTGCTCTGCGTAGCAGGTGCTGCCAGCTTCCAGCCCTGATCTGCAATAAAGGTACTCGGTCATCCCTGGCTGTGGATGTCAAAGCAGTGACAAGAAGGTGAAAGAGGTCTATGACATGATGGAGCTGGAGTCTCAAACATATATATATATATATATAAAATGAGATGGAAAGCACAGGGTTAGAATCCTGCTTTCTGAGAGCATTCAGCAGAAGAGCAGGGAGAGACTCCTACTCTCCTCGGGAGAATAGGGAGGAAAACACACAGTAGAAAGAAATGCATCTCCTCTTCTACAGGTACTCCTTAGCTAGAGGCTGCTGCCTTTGTAACACTCAAGCAAACTAACTTTTGCACTCTACCTTACCCAGAAGGTGAATCTGACACAGCACAAAGTCAGTTCTGTGAAGGAAGCAGCCACAGGCTTTTTCATATCCAAAGAAAATAGAATATATTAGGATTCAGAAAGAGACTGACTGCGGAGACCTATGTTTTAGGCTATGCAGATTTCTGCGAGTAGAAAATGTCACAACTGCAAGAGAAAGGGAAGAAACCCTATCTGTATGCATGTATCTGTAAAAGTTTAATACAGTTCCATACAAAAAAAAAAATTATAGTAGTATTTAATATAGCATTTTCAGTCTGAAATACTGACTTAATGTTTGAAGACTGCATGTAGGTGACTAGAATTAAAACCAGTAACAGTTAGAAGTATATGATTTCCTCCACCTCTTTTTAGAGTACAGAGTTATTCTTACGCAGTAGATTTTAATTTTCCCTTGTTCTACTCTAAATTTAAGCCCCGAGTTAGATCTAAACTTCCTCACCTCACTTCTGATTCAAAACTCTTCAAGCAGATTTAAACTTTGAATGCCATGGACATCCAACTACAGCTGATGGATGTCTCTGATAATTTGTCTCAAAGTGAAACATAGCAATTTTGGCTTCAAGTTGTCCTAATCAGTCTTCCCATTAATGCTCACTGAAACATATGAGAAAATTCACACTTCTTCTTAGAGCATATTGCTTCAGTCTGCCTTGACTGCAGGCTCAGCTGGAAAGAGAGCCAGTTTGCATTCTGAAACACCTCACAAGACAAAAAGCATGAATTTCAGAAATTTCATTGAAAATAAGAGACAATCCAGAAAGCACCATGGAACTTAAATGACATTACTTCTTCTGTAGTCACAGAAATAAGCTCCATCTGGCCAAATCTTGCCAAAGACTACTTTATCCAAGCACCAGATTTCTCCCTTCCATACAGTCAGGGGTAAGCAAATGCCTAATTCAGAACGAAACGTGCTCTCCTCTCAACATTACTCACATTTTCACTTAATTGAGCTAGTACTTATTTGAAGATTACAAACACTCTTAAACATGGCTTGTGTATCTCCAGAGTCTTTCAATGCTTAAGACTGCTCTTATTAATGAAAACTCACACACAGGCAGACACACACAAAAAAAAATTATATATCTATCTAGTTGCTACTAGTTTTCCTTTGAACAACATCAAGATTATATGTCAAATTTTACTTTTCAGTTATCCTAATAACTTTTTTTTGTGCCTACCACAATGCTCCTTAGAGCACTTATCTAATAGGCATAACATTTTATTACCTGATCCAATACTTCCCAAACCCCATAAATAAGAGAACTGGAAAAAATATATTTTAAAAGCACACTACAAGATTTCGACCACATAATAGCAACAGATGGAATAGAAAGTGAAGAGCATTTTATATGGCTTTCTTACTATCTTGTGTTACACTTCTGAACTATTTCATTACTGCATATTTGGCACAGAAAATAATATAACAGAAGCAATTTTGGTCTTACTAAAAACTAATCACAGAAATTTTCTTTAAATGGGAGACAGCACAGCAGAGACTTTCTTCTGAAGAAGGGAGAGAAGAAAGAAACCCTCCAACATAAAGTTAATGAACGCCTCCTAGTCATTTACATTTTCCTGTGCCATCTTTTTAAAATCACTAGTGCCAACTTCATTCCTCATTACTGGAAGAAAATCTCTGAAGCCATTTCTCGGGCCAGATACACAACACAATCATTCAGCTACTGAAAAACCTTATCTGTTGTCCAATGGTCAGTCATAACGCACAAGACACAGACAAGGTTCACTGTAACCCTGAACAACTTCTTGAGCTGCAAAGTGAAACCAGTGCTTTAAGAACCCCCATCTACAAAACATGCTTCTATGGGTAACAATTTCTTTACTGCTCCCAATAAGATACTATCAAACAACAGCAGAGCAATCAG